CGCTTGAGAACTCTGGTTCGACGCTTTCTCTCTCTAGGAATCGATTTCTCTCTCAAAAACTCGGAACCCTTTGAAAATTGGCCTTCTTCCTCTTTTATCAGCTGACCCCGCGATACCCGGTCGAAATACCCGGTCGGGTATTTTATGGTTCGACCGGGTATTGTCGAAACGCGCCGTTCCACTAAAGGGGAAAATCCCCGGTCTACCACCAAAATCCCCGACCGGGGATTTATCGCCATCGCCCGGGCCCCCTTCTGTTTCTCACGGGTGCCCGAAGGAGGAAATACCCGGTCGAGGCCAGAATATACCCGGTCGGGTATTTATTCCTTTGACCGGGTATTTTGGTCCAGCAGCATCCTTTGTCCAATCTTCGCTCCTTTCGATCCGGAACTCGTTCTTTCGCCTCGATTCCAACGCCAGGACCTAAAATATGACATAAACACACAACCTAGCGTAAAATCGGCTTAAAATACGAGATTCCTCATCACAAACGACTTCAGAATAGGGGTGAAAACATGTATGATTATCGGTCTATCACTACCAAAGCGTAATGCACACACTACCAGAGAAGATTCTGGGATGCAACATATTGAATTGCCCTGTCCAGCGCCGCCATCAGCAACGTCAAAGGAAGATTCCGAAGTGGCGGGGGAATCGTCGTCAGGGCGGTCCCGATCTGGAACGCGAGTATCCATTGAATTGGCAGGGGAATCGTTGAGCGAATTGGCGGGGGAATCGTCCATTGAATTGGCGGGGGGGGGGGGGGGAATTGTCCATTGAATTGGCGAGCGTCCCATATTGAATTGCCTTGTCCAGCTCCGCCGTCAGCAATGTCGGAGGAAGATTTGAAAGTACCGGGGGAATCGTCGTCGTCGGGGAGGTCCCGATCTAGGACGCGAGCGTCCATTAATGGTGCTGCAGCTTCTGGGAGAGAGTGGGAGAGAGAGGGGGGATGCTAGGGATGGAAGATTATGCGAGAGAGGAGGGGAAGGGAGGAGGGCGATGGAGGGGATGCCGGCCGGCGGTGGAGGGGGTTCTCGGGAGGGAGGAGGGACGTCGGGAGGTAAAGGGGGAGGTAGTTTGGTGGTTGGCGGCGGGTTGCAGTAGGGTAGGGTTTGAATATAATTTATAGGGTAATCAGGTGTGGTATATTTTTCAATTCCAAAATTACCCTAATATAATGTTCATCGTTAATTTAAAATTAGGGTGAAAAAGAAATAATGAATGAATGGTGTAGATTAAGGTAGCCACCGTAATTACTAAAAATTAGGTAACCACGCTAACTCATTCCATCGCTGGACCCCACTAACCGTCGGAGCAGGTCACAACAAGCACATACAGGAGACACACACACGTCGAACTATGATTGAGCTGCAATTAGAGCACGGAGCCGTTGCCGGAGACAGGAAGTGCAGACACCCACGATGCCGCTGAGGTTGCAGGGGTGCTTCTTATAGCTCATCCCGCTGTGCAATTGAAATTTTGAAGGAGGACTCGACCCAATCAATTTGCACTTTTCAGGCCGAAGCAATAATCTGATCAATCATATTATGGTCCCTATTGCTTGTGTTTGGGACCAGGAGGAAGTTTGGACCAATAGTTTCTCAATTTTTTATTGAGATTTTATTGCTATACATGTACAAAAATTGGGGGAAGAAACTGCCAATAACCGATAAAAGGATTTTACATGGAATAAAAAATAAATAGGGGTCCAAATATCTTTCACCTCTTGTTTGTTGATGATAGTATAAGCTTAAACAGATTCTACAAACCTATGGGGAAGAGTCTAGTCATATGGTAAATTTCACAAAATCTGAGATTTCCTTTACCCAAAATGTGAAGGATGATAGACAAACAACGATGACAACCATTTTGGGAATGAGGGATGTTGGACTCGTTGGAACTAATCTCAGTTAGTTACAAGTCCAATTGGAGTAAGAACTCCAATTGTAGTAAATAACCATTAGTTCTCCTTGTCCATTATGGTTTTGTATTCCTTGCTTGTCAAGCCAAGGTCACGGCTGTGCAAGGATTAAAGCCTAAACCTTGTCTATTTAAGAACTAAGCTACCAAGTCTTGTGGTAAGCTAGTCGGTCACAATGTAGTCCCTAATAAAATATCAGTCGTGAGCTCGGAACGAGCTCACCGTGGATTAGTTTGATTAGTTTCGATCAATCAATCGATCGAGGATACCACGTAAATCTCGTGTGTTCGTGTGTTGTTCCAATTCCGCATCATCAAATTCTTCATGGTATCAGAGCCTGGTTCATTGTTAGGGTTTGCGCTTCCGCCATCATTTTGGTTCTTCTGTGCGTTGTCCCCGTCATGTCCGACGAGTCCGCACTGAGGTCGATGGGATCTGCCGTCCCTGATGTCATCAATCGTCAACTGCCGTGTCGCCTATCATATTGTCACGATGGTTATCGCCGAATCATAAGTCAAGGAAACAAGGACATCGCTCAATCACCGTCGTCGTCCTCAACTCAGTTCAGCACCGAGTCTATGCCTTTGCTCATAGGCTACTTGCTGCCTAAATTCCTGGTCACAATCGTCTTTCTTGAAGCCTTTGCTGCCGTCATCCGCATCCCAAGCGCTTTTGTATCCGTCCAAGCTCCTCGTTCGGTCTCCAGTCAGCATCCATATCGCCGTTGCTATCTTCGTCAATGAGGCCATCGTCGAGGTCATCAGTCGAGGCATCAACCGTGAGACACCTTCATCCATCTTGGGTTCCCGGCGTTCATCCTTCAGTCAGGAAGCAAGGTCAACTCATGGCCTGTTTTCTTTCCGACGTCGCCCTGAGCGTCCTCGCCTGTCCTCTCCTGCTGGATAAGGCCTTGAAGTCGCCCCGCATCAGTGCCCTCGCCAGTCCTTCTTTCTCCCGGGTCGTTGCATCATCATCATCCCAGTCGTCAGTAGAGGTTGCTTGGATCCGAGCTCCCACCAAAGTCACCGTCATCGCCGGCCAGTCAAGCCTCCGCGTTGTTCGGAGCTTTCATCGCGGCGTCTCCTTGCATCGAGGTGCCTTCGCCAATTCTACATCGTCATGGTCAGCAGCGATAATATTGTCATCAATTGCGTCGGGTCATCCGTTGTCAGGTTGAAGTCCGTGCTTTAGTGTCCACCATCCGTAGTCCGGCTCTGTCAAAGCTTCGGTCGGCCTCCTTAGGTTGCTGTGTTTCAACCACAGTCACTCTGTCCAGTCCAAAATCTGTACTCGGCTGGAGTTTTTTGTTCGTTCAACTCGGTTGTAGGAAGCTGCGTGGTCATTCTTGGTGCGCTCGTGGAAAGTGGGGTTCTGGGCGATGTAAATCGCGGACTGATTGTCGCAATAGAGGGAAACTGGTTGTGGGTGTGGGATGCGGAAGTCATGGAGCAGATACAGCAACCATTGGACCTCACAGGAGGTGTAAGCGTGAGATTCATGCCTGAGATAGTCTTTCATCAGTTACTAGCTCTTGCATCACCACCATGGATTCATTGAGTTTTGTAGTCTCAGAGGGGCATTGAAATGGATTGAAAATTGCTACAAAGATGGGTCAAGTCAACGTCATCAATTCAAGGTCACAAGTTTTGTCACATGTCCACAGGAAACAAATCTCAAAAGTCATGAAGTTGGAGATAATCACGACCCAAGTATTGGTGTCACTTCAATTTTCAGTATTGGAGAAAAGACAGTTTTCGTCAAGAAATCAAGTCAAGGTGCGAGGCAGTCACGATCAAAGAAGCGATCGTCCCCTCCGCATTCAGAATTGGTCAAATTTGAGTCCTCACCATTCTAACTTTCAATCTGGGTATTCACGTTGTTCATGCTCCAGCTTGAGGGGGAGAATAGGGAATCATCACACATAGGTCGACTAGTTCAGTAATCAAGTCGACCGCGTGTATCTATCAATCATGTTGCTCGGGGAAGTACAGTCAGCAGTGCAGGTAGAAGTCTCCAAAGTTAGCAACGCAGTCATCAGTCTTCAATCTCATCCAAGACGTCAAGGAATTCCGCCATGCTGAGTTCATTGTCAAAGAACTGGGTCAAGTATGGAGTAGGATCAGTCTCATCCACGACGTCTAGGAGTTTCACCATGCTGAGTTCACTGTCAAAGGAACTGGGTCAAGCATGGAGTAGTTTCATCATTTGTCTACCAGCCAGTTGGATCGTCAGGGCCAGCAAGAGGTTGTTTGAGTGTCGTTCATTTTCAAGCTCGACATTCTTGTCATTCATGTCTTCGCTTGAGGGGGAGTGTTGGACTCGTTGGAACTCATCTCAGTTAGTTACAAGTCCAATTGGAGTAAGAACTCCAATTGTAGTAAATAACCATTAGTTCTCCTTGTCCATTATGGTTTTGTATTCCTTGCTTGTCAAGCCAAGGTCACGGCTGTGCAAGGATTAAAGCCTAAACCTTGTCTATTTAAGAACTAAGCTACCAAGTCTTGTGGTAAGCTAGTCGGTCACAATGTAGTCCCTAATAAAATATCAGTCGTGAGCTCGGAACGAGCTCACCGTGGATTAGTTTCGATCAATCAATCGATCGAGGATACCACGTAAATCTCGTGTGTTCGTGTGTTGTTCCAATTCCGCATCATCAAATTCTTCAAGGGAAGTGTCACATTATAAGAAATACTTGGGTCTGGCCACAGTTGCAGGGGGACAAAAGAAGGGCCTTTTTGGAGTACTGTTGATGGATAGAATACGAGCAAAATTAAAGTTGTGAAAGGGTCGAGTAATGTCTGTTGCTGCCAAGTAGGTTTCGTCAAGACAGTCGCGCAGGCACAAGCAACTTATATTGTGTCACTTTTCCATGTACCTCCGAGTGTAATACAAGAGGAGTCGAAGTCTTATTGCAAGTTTCTGGTGGGGGTTAGAAGAAAGAGGAAATGAGGATTCATTGGTTGAAGTGGGATCGTATGTGCAAATCAAATCTGAGGGAGGGTTGGGTTTACAGATATGCACGGTTTTCAATCTGCGACGACCGTTTCAGGGGAAACACGGTGGTTCTCAGGGAGGGCAGGAAGGCCGCATAAGATGAAGGAGGGAGAGGGACTGTTTGATCGGGTGTCTCATTTGAGACTCATTTTGGACAAATACGTAAATTACACATTAAAAATAGGACGATAATTAGTAATTTTAAGATGACCTATCCAGTAATTTTATAATTTTATTATTTAAAATATATCAATTTAACTATCATCAAAACTATATTAAAAAAAACACCCTAGCACAAACATGATCATTATCAAGCCCAGCACTTGGAGGTCCCTCAAATTTTGGAGGCACTCGTCCCAGCACATGCTATGACCCAGGTCTGTATCTTCTAGTGCAAGCAACCTGTTTCCATTGATGCATGTATCTCTTCAAGGGTTCTTCCTTTGGTCTCTGGTACCAGTTTCCAGGTGAACACAACAATTCCCCCACAAACTAAGGCGAAAATGAAAAATGTCCCTACAATAATAAGAGAATAACCATTTGTGAATGAAAACAACAATGCATTTGAGCTGACTAAGTCACTTGCATATATTATACGTCAAACATACGTTAGGTTTTACTAATATATTTCAAATAATATATGCTAAACTCGTAACTAAAACTTATTACATCATCTTATAGTTTTTTTTCTTGTTTTTTTTTCAAATAGAAACGTTACCTGCGGCGCTACATTGTAGCATGAAGTTGAAAGTATACGTGACGAGCCAAGAAGATGACCAATTGACTAATGTGACGAGAGTTCCGGCTACTGCCTTCACGTTCATTGGAAATATCTTCCAAAAATAAAATAAAAAAAATAGAGAGCTACTTTTAGCCAATATGTGATTTATGTCAAATTTTATTTCGCAAAATCAAGTAATTTCCAGACCTCAGACATCATGGTCCATGGAATGCCTGCTGCACCAATTGAGAAAGCTGATGTGTATACCTGCACAGTCATTAAAGTACTTCTTTTAGGATTACAAAAAAAATTAATAATCAAATGAACATACTTAACAATCAATTCCTAGTTCTGTTTACATTTATTTCCGTTTCCTAATTCTTGTTTTCATTCTAGAAATCTAGCAACGAAAATGAGAAAATCTATTCATTTTTTGTTTTCATCTCTACAACAGAAAGTGGCAGTTTTCTGCTGTTTTCGGGGAAAATTGAAAACGTGGGAATTTGTACGAATTTCCATATTTTACAAAACCAAGGAATTGACTTGTGGAAATTTAACAAAATTCCACGTTTGGATAGGGTTTAGTTTTGTGGGAATTGATGGTGTGGAATTTGGTAAAAATACAAAAATGCCCTCTTTTGTTTATATACATATACCCCTCCTAAAGGTTGTTGTTGTATTATACTAACTACTAATTGTTGCTAACTTAAGCATAGTTAGAAAAAATGATATGTAAAAGTTACGTATAAAATACGTACGATTATTTTACTTCATCTCTAGCTAAGCTAATATTACATTTAATAGTACATTAAAAGCCATAAATATATAAACTTAATTATTTGAATAATAAGTACATATATAAATTATAATAAAGTTAACAATTTAATTCATTAAATACGGATATTAAAAATGTTAATGCGAATTCAATGAGGAGAAGCAAGAAAATTGACGGTGAATGAGATAATTAAGCGAATCCAAAATTAAAAAAATTGACGACGGATTAGAGGAGATATACGAAGGTGAGGGGAGATGAAGAAGAAGAGGTGCCATTGATGAATGAAGAAAAAGGAGCTACTCTTGTAAGAAATAGTTAGGCGAAATTGGAGGAGCAAGGAAGAAATGAGAGGAAGGACATACGGACACGTTTGGAAATAGAAGGAAGAAAACGTGGTAATGTCAAATTACTAGGGGGAGATGTAGTATTCTCAATTACAATGAATGTGGTAATTGGAGCCAATTTCCATGGTCCAATTCCCATACCCTTTTTGCTTTGCCAAACGTGGGGTTTTAACCCAATTACTGCATTATGTGGTAATTGGGTCCAATTACTGCATTACATTTCCACATCCAAACGACCCCAAATGTTGTTGCAGAAGTTTGCAACATATGTTCTCTTATACCTTATTTTTATCCTTTCAATAGATATAATTTTCATCTTATAGACCATTTGGAACCACATGAAGTCATAATTTATTTTAATTTTTTTAAACAATTTATTTTAATTCAAAATGAAATATTTGTAAAATCCAATTTCAAATGAATTCCTATGTTTAGAATGTTATATTCAAATCTTTATAATAATAAGTTAGATTTCATTTGAAAATTTACTAGAAATTTTATATCTATCTAATATAATTGTAAAATCCATTTTCAAATAAATGTTATTAGTTAGATCATTCATGTTTCAGTTTCAGAATCAACCAAAAATTTCAGCTATACATTGTTTTATTTTCAAGTTTTGTTTCTCAATAAACGTCAACTTTGTTTCCTTCAAGCACTATTTTTCTGTCCCCACAAGCACAGAAAACGAAAAATGAAAGTAAACAGACATATATTTTCACTTACAGTAAGACCAAGGACGGTTAAAATTGGAGTCAAGTCCCTCAAAAGATTAAGCCCCTGTGGATCGGATGAACAATTTGAAGAACCAAACATAGTCAAGAACAGAGCTCTATAAATTAATCCACTCATATCACGCTACAAAACCCAAAGAAGGGGGTTTTTTCTTTTTTGCTATCAAATAATTATATCTGAAAGCAGCGAAATAGCCCACTCAATGAAGTATTAGCAACCAAGTTTTACATTAATAATTAAATTTGGTCACAAAATGCTATGTTTCTTTTGCTTTTTTTCCCCCGATGAATCAATGCTATAGGCCTATTGAGTTTGTAAACTAATTTAGTTACCTGCAATACAAATGATAATCCGACAAGAAAGCTACAGAAACACATTCCACCAGCTGAAACCTGCATAATATTTTTTTGTTTCACCAGCTAGTTAGTTAAGCTAATTCATTAACTTGGTTGAGTTAATTAATTATATATTTGAATCGTCGGTCTTGCTAATTAAGTAGTAATACGTACCATGAGCAGTGGTCTGCTTCCTGCAAAATCCATTAAGAACAGGCCTGCCGCCGCTGATGGTACCTATAAGAAAGTAAAATATGCCAAACATATTTACAACTAACGAGATGCTTTAGTGACCAAGGAAAATGGTTGCCAAAAGCAACAGAATGATTGGATAATTTTTGTCCTAGTGTCAAACTTGAACAGGAAAATATTTAAAGTTTGTTTTTACATAATGATCGAATTTACTGGTCCAATACCTGTACTGTTGAGATAATAATGGTACCAGTGCTAGTTGGAAATCCTGTATCCAAAGATCAAAGGTTGCATATACACGTTCAAAGACACGTTTTTATACCTATGCTTTATCATAACAGGCTAAAAGTATAAGCCAGAGCCATTAAAGTAAGTAGAGAGTCACGAAAACTCGAACTAAAAAATATCAGGATTCCTAAATTTGTTGGAAACTTGATCTAGCAGCTTGATTTACTTACCAGCTCTCTCAACTATAGCACTAGCATAGGATGAAATTCCTGAATTGCCTCCAAGTGGCTGTAAAAGCATTAGACCAAGTCCAACCTAAATTGGGGATCATAGGGCAAGTTAGCTCAAGGTCACAAATTTGTTTGAAAGATAACATGGGGTAGGGGGGACTAATTAGCTAATTAAAGGTTTAATTAAATAATTAGTCTCACAATGAGGGAGTATGCATATTTCTTCTGGAAAAGGTCCTTGACTTTGGCATTTGAATCATCTTTCAAAGAATCCACACTACTCTGCACAAAGGGGAAAAAACTGTCATGAGTATTTGCCTGATTCTAATGCATATTGGGCGAACATAATTGTTTTCCTAAGGAGATCCAGCACGTTGAAAGATAACGAGTTTAAAGTAAAGAAAAAATTACTTTGATCTCTTCTTTTTCTTCATAGATATCAACGTTCTTGCCTCTCAACCATTGCAATGAAGCTTCAAACTCTTTACATCTTCCAACTTTTGCCTGCAAATTACGTTTAGGTATATTAACGCGTCACACATTATCAAATTTATTACCAATTTAGTTCAGATAAACGCACCAGCCATCTTGGAGACTCAGGAATGAAAAATAGCCCCACAAGTTGCAGGATCCCCGGGACAAGACCTAATAAGAAGGAAATTGTTTTGCTTGTGGAGTTAAAAAAAACCACTGTAATAATTTAGAATTTGAAAAAACAAGGCAACAAAATTAGCTTTTACGACCACTTTGTTCGTCACAATAGACTCTTGCTTTTTACCTACCAATTAGGGCTAATGTGCGCCAGGAAACAAAATTTCCCACCAAGAAAACAACTGAACATCCGAAATTTATCAGCAACTGGACCATCCATAAAAAATGAAAACATATTAGCAGAAGATTAGCACAAGTAATTATATACTTTCCAAATAACATATGCAGTATCTTTCCCCTAGTACCTGACTGGCATATGAAAATGCTCCTCTGGAATTTTTGGGTGTTACTTCTGCCACGTAGATCGGGACCTATTAGTAAAAAAAATTCGAAATACAAATATTAGTAAAAAAAAATTGTGACGCATCAAAATATTAGTTCTTTGTCGGTTAGTGTTAATAACTTTGCAACTCATTTCGCAGTTAAAATACTAAATTTTTTGAATGTCAACTCTTATATGTATCTTCCAACTCGGCATCATTGATTTATGAAACTGCTAATTGAAAGTTAAGCATATTATCTAATATTTTGTATTCAGAAAGACTTGACAAATAATTTGAAAATTTTGACCAATCTAACTCGAATCAGTGCGTTACCACATAGGTGAGGAACCCAACTCCAATCCCAATTGAGAGCCTTCCCATGTCAAGCCACCAGGAACTCTGCTTCCCCCCAAGGCATCAAATATAATACGTGATTAATTTAAGTTAGTTTCTTTCATTGATGTGATTAAGTTAATTAATTTACTAAAAGAAAAGGCACGAGATTTGGAATTTGCTGACAGTGGCAAGTGCTATTGCAAGCCAGCCAGTGGTGCAGAAAACCTGTGACAGCCACATCGTCTGCAACAATTCCATGTGCACAACAGTCATGACATATATATTATCTTATTTTAGCCTAATCGGTAATTGATCAACTCAGATTCAAAATTAAATACAATAATAATTAACTTACGTATTTGCAACCAAGAACTGCCGTCATTCTCCCACAAAACAGAGCCCCAATCATCCCACCAACCGTCATAATTGACCCAAACATTGAGTACTGCACGCCACGGTACCAAAACCCATCAGAATTCCATTTAATCATGATTCGCACTGATTTTTGGGAGTGAAGTGGTTGAAGCAGGATTTTGGTAGTTTGTACGATTACTGTAAGTGAGTAGTTTGTGTAAAAACCAAGGATTGAAAGACAGTATTGTTTTTACTATAAAAAAAATAGTATTGTATGGTGGAATTTTTTTCTATCAGAGGTTAAATCGCTAGACAGTATGAAGCGATTGAACCACAGTTAAATTGTGGTTTCAACATAAAGTATCTAATTGTTGATTTTTCTGGTACAACCTCTAGATATACAATCCTGATCTTAATAAAGTTATAATTAACCATAAAAAAAGCCATTCGAATTTTAGATTGAATGTAGGGTTTTATTTCTATTCATTAATATATGGGAAGACAGAAAAATTAAATACTTACATCTGCAACAGAGAGTCCCAAATCTTGGGTAATTCCATCTTGGGTTGGTGACGAATATGATAACTGCCCCCCCAAATACACCAGAGAAAAAGAAAACAAAGGGGAGTTGAATAATTAGAGACAATAAAAAAATTCTGACTAATTCTGACTAAATCACACCCAAAAAGAAATTCTGACTAATTAATATAATAAATAATACGTTATATTAGGCAACGGACAATCAGAAGAATCTTTATAACGATTTCCTCGCTTTTTTGTCCCCCTGTTTTATTAGGAAATATTTTAGTTTTGTCCCCTGTTTTATTTCACAGAGTCTTTTCACAGTGAAACTATTTGAGATTTGATTATACAAAAGAACCAAAAAAATTCTAAAGTGAATTTATTAGGGATATTTTAGTCATTTGTGTCGCCCAAACTAAAGTTTGGCCTTGATTAACGGTTTTTGGATGAAAATTTTAACAAAAAGGCATGTTTGATCATTTTGACCAAGTACAAGGACATATTGTATGTAAACAATAATTGAAATGCATGTTTGATAAAACGTCATAGTAAATGAGCATATTATACCTACAACCCCAAATAATAATAATTCTCTCTGCAACAGCCTTAGTTCAATTAATCGTACTTACAGCAACGCCATATGTGAAGGAGCCACAAGCAGCGACGAGCGTGCTGAAGATCACGGCCGCGGGCGACGATGATCCTCCGGCGCCGTCGTAGCTTCCGGCAGGAGCTTTTCCAATAAGAAGAGGCTTCTTTAGCAACCCTCCTTCCATTTTCGTCTCCTCATTTCTGTCCATTCTTTCCCCTTCCTCTCCTTCTCCCATCCCTGTTTTTCTTCTTCCCTCTTAGCTTGTTGGTTTCCGAAACAAGACTCTCACTCACTCTCCTGACATGAATATATAGCCCGACCGACCGAGTGAAAGAGGAGCGGGCGAAAACACTAGTAGTGATTGAAATTGAAATGATGGTGAATTATTTTGCCCGCCGGCCCCCTTCTCTCTTTCACGTTGTGTCTCTTACTTTTGTCCTCTACGAACCTAGCTCTAGTTATATGGTGACAACACACCAGTTTTTTTTAATGTAAAATGCTGGTCACTGGCAATCTGGGATTATTAAATTGTTTTATATTTAATCACTAAAAAAAATAATATCAATTTTGGTCACTCGAATTACTAAAACAGGTCACATTTAGTCACTCTCCCGTTAGCTTCCGTCCAACTCCGGTCACTTGATTATTTTTTTTTTTATGAATGTCACTCGAATTACTGAAACATGTCACATTTAGTCACTCTCCACGGAGGCTAACGGAGAGTGACTAAATGTGACATGTTTCAGTAATTTAAGTGACAAAATTGATATTAATTTTTTCTAGTGACTAAACATGACATGATTTAGTAATCTCAGTGACCAAATGTGGCATTTACCCAGTTTTTAATATTACATTCCCCTGGAGATGTGACTTTATATGTTTCAATCTCCTGATGTGACTATATGTTTTAATATTACATTCCCCTGGAGATGTGACTTTATATGTTTCAATCTCTTGATTTTCTTAACTATAAATACAAAATACCGCTCTTCTTTGATACCGAAAGAGAAACATATCTGGTGGCATAACTTACACTATCTTTGGGAAGAGAAAAAAGAGTGCAATTTCGAGTTTGTGTAAGTTGAGTGATAAATTGCACAGCTGCAAATTAGTGGAGGGTGTAAATAGAAGGATAAATTGTTGTTTGAATGAAAAAATAGATTAGTATAATAAAGTGAAAAGTAAGTAATTATATTATTATAAAATAAATTTATTAAATTTATAAATATTATCACAAAATAATTTAATAATAAATATTATTATATAATAGTAAATATTAGTACATATAATTTAATAAAAATAATAATTATATAATAATTCTCGTCACTAATTTAACTTTAAATTGAATATAATGAAACTTAGTCAAACATGTTAGAATCTGTAAGTTTTAACTTTTTAGTCAAGTAAACTTAATCAACTAAATCGATCCTCTCAATCTTTTAAACAAACATTTTTAATCTCTAATCTTCAATGCAAATTCAAGTCAGCCAAGATATCAATTTGACTAGACGAATATTGACAAACTTGCTCCCGAAGTCAAAACAGTCAACACCGAACAACGTCTACATTGATGATAGCTAAGATAAAAAATATCATTATATTAATTATATATAATTATATAACAATTAAAAAATAAAAATCCATAATTTCTGCCCTCGCCCCTCCTTCATTCCTTCTCTTGTACCTCAATTTGGAGGTAACCCGAAACAATGAAGTTACATTCACATTATTCACCCTCTACTGTCACAAAATAACCAAACAGGGATAAACACCCTGAAACTTGTGTTTAACCACAAACTTGCACCTCTTCTCAAACATTGTGTTAAGGCTTCTTTGAACGAGCTTTTTATATTTGTTTAACAATATTTTCCTGGATGAATTATTTGAGCTGCGAGTTATTTGACATAATTTTTTTTCCAATAATTGGCAATTCTCATTAAGCTTAACTGGACAAAGCCAGAATTGAAAAATACAAGGAGGGTGTACACACACCACCAGAAAAGGAACTCATCTCACCTCTAACAAACCAGAACAACCTATACATGAATCAAGCCAAATAAAGAAGCAAATTCAACTTTGCCTACTCCATAGTTACTACTATGAGATTTAAAGGAATCAATCGAAGATTCAGCAGACAGCTCTTTACCCCCAAACACTCTGGTGCATCTTTCCCTCCAGATAACAGTAAGTAACCAACACCAATAGAATCCAATCACTTGACTCTGGATACCAGAGGAAGAAGAAATGCATGTAGCAGCAGCTAACCAATCCTCCCAACAAGAACCTCTTGGCATGGAAAAACCTCTCATTACCTGTTTAGAGTAAGCACAAACAAAGAATAAACGAGCTCTTGAATCATTGCCACTGCGGCACAACACATAGCCTGGATCAACATTCCTACCCCATGTAATCAGTTGTCCCTAGTAATGATCTTGTCCTTCATAATGAGCCAGGCTAGAAACCTATTACTAGGGATATTATTTTTTGTCCACAACAATTTTCACCATGATACAATCAGATGCTTAATCCTCAAAGAGTTCCAGACCTTCTTGATCTTATATTTTCCCATCAAGGATCCTTCCCATGAACATACCCTCTTTCTTCTTGAATCAGTCGAAATTGAAAACCAAGAACGGAGTTTTGAGCAGTTTCCTCCATATCCAAGATCATGTTTGAGTTGCTTTCAACTGCCAGTAAGATCTCCCTTTTAATTTTATACTTATGCGCCCAGGCAACCCAGAAGGATCGCCCGCATTAAGATTAACCACAACAATTTTCCTGCAGAGGCAATATTCCAAATCACCAGATCCTTAAGACCCAGACCACCCTCCTTTTTAGGGATAGTAATCAGTTCCCAAACTACCTTTTCCCTCCCATAATCGTTTCCATGCCACAGAAAGTCTGAGCAGGGCTTCTGAACTCGTTTTATGACACACTTGGGTAGAATAAAAATTCCCAACCAATACTGGAGAATAGGATAGACAACAAAAGCAATTAGTTTTAGCCTACCAGCATAAGTGAGTTTGCTAGACCTCCAAGAGCGGATTTTATTGACTATCTTATCATTCAACAAGTCACATTCGTTAGTAGAGAGCTTGCCTGCTACCAGAGGAAGACCTAATTATCTAACAGGTTATGTGCCCTCTTTAAAACCAAAAATAGATATATCTAAGTTCCTTATTTGTCGAGAAGTACCCCCAAAGTACACTCCACACTTATCTGGGTTACATCGAAACCCTGACAGTGAGTAAAACTTATCCATAATCCCTCTAATATAGGTCAGAGCCCAACCAGAACCCTCAGAAAAAATCAACAAATCATCTGCAAAGCACAGGTGGGTCAAACCTAGTGCTTTGCATTGTGAATGGAAAGGCAATTGATTGATATAAACTGCTCTATTAAGCAAAAGGGCAAGGATCTCAATGTAGGGGTGGGCAAACGGTTCGGTAAATCCGAACTGAAACAAACCGAAACCGAATTAAACCGAAACCGAATTAATGCTATTCGGTTCGAAATTCGGAAAGAAAATATGGATAGTTCGAAAATCAGGTGATAACGATGTAATTGCATGATTTTATACCCCTATTTCTTATCCATTTGCGGAGCATGGTGTGTGTTTTGGCCTATTTTACGCCGGGTTGTGCTACTTTGTCCTATTTCAGGTCCCAGGCGTCAAAAGGAAGGCCAAGCGCGAGTTTCGGATCGTTTGGAAGTCGTTTGGTCGAGCCAGGGCCAAAACACGGGCAGGAGGCCCTCAGAACACGGCCGTGTTCCTGGCCGTGTTTTTACCGCCGGAGACTCCCCATGTGTGGCTTGAACCAGCTAAAAAACACGGGCAGGCCTGAGACAGAACACGGCCGTGCTTTGCCCAAAACACGCCCGTGTTTTCCCAATGCACGTGGCCGTGTTTTTATGCCAAGGCCAAAACACGGGCGGGCTGGACCAGAACACGGCCGTGCCCTCGACCGTGTTCTGGCCACTGATGCCCTTTTAGGCAGATTTCAGCCAAATTGAGAGGGGATTCGAGTTTTAGAGAGACAGAGCAATTCCTAGAGAGAGAAAGCGACGAACAAGAGTCTCCAAGTGCCCTAGCTTGATCTTCATCACCATTGGAGCTTGGCTTGAGCTTGGAAGAGTGCCAATCAACGTCCAGGAGCTGAAATCCATCCTTCACAGTATGGTTTCCGCATCTGATTCTACTTTTGCTTCTTTCTCCATGGAGTAGTTCTCCCATTCATCTGGGTGTGGGAAACCCTAGATCTGTATGTTAGGATTGATTGTATGAACCCAAGTACTGTTTCTATGATTTGATTATTTCGATTGAGGTTTGAATGATTGAATGGCATGAATCCTGATCAAATTCCTGTTGTTTCTGCTTTAACCTAGAATGAGAATATCTGCCTAGGTTGATAGAGCACCCTTAATTGAAGGTAGTGAATTGGTGACTTTAGTCGAGGAGCCAATTCGCTATTCTGTACCAAATTCCATTCGGTAGTGGAGGTTTGGTTCGTTAGGGCCTCAACCTGTTTACTCCGGTGGAGGTTAGTCGCCCGCTAGAGACTCAGATTGAGAGGGTCTGAAGACCTTTAGTCGAGACTTCAGACTGTTTGAGAACCTTCCGCTGTATAACTATCATAGAAATTGAACTTGGTAATTACAATCCGGCTTAACTGCAGTCTAGGGGGAACCATATCCGGGTGATCTCTCTTAACCTGAAAACAATCGTTTAGTTGCTTTGCTTGCCTGTTAGTTTAGATCTTCACTAAGTTTCATTGCTAGATAATACGAATTCACTAAGTAGTCATCACATCTAGACCCGGGTTGACATTAAAACCCAAACCCGCTATACTACGCTTTAGGAAGTGGTTACACTTGGCCATTTTCTAGAGTGACAGTAGGAGTGAGTCAAGGGTTCTTTCAACCGAACCAAATTTCCGAATTTCCGACCGAAAAACCGAAATACTATAATTGCAAGCTCCAAATGGTGGATTTTTATGTTTGTAGTTGTTTTTTAGACTTAAATATTTGAAATATTTTAAGACTTATGTGTTGAAAAGTTTGGTTTTATCATTGATGATGCATATAATTGATATTTATTGTCTATATTAGGGTGAAAAATAATTTAAAAGTGAGAAAATACAAGTAGCTTCACAAATTCGGTTTTGTGTGAAAACCAAACCGAACCGAATTATAATTCTGTTTAAACCG